ACACTTTGTGATGAGTGCAGTGAAGTAGATCTCCACACTGGTTTCAGGTTAATGAAGGAAGGCCTGTCTTGCTATCTTTGTGATCCTGGCTGTCTTTGACGTCCTCGTCCTCGTCCTCGTCTGTGCCTGAGTTACCTGTAGTTGAAACGATGCTGCATTGCCAAGATAGGTGAAAGAGACTACTTTCTTCAAGTTTCTCCCGTTCATGGTGATTGGAGTTTGTTGATGTTGGTGGTGATGGTGTTGGTTGGGTATTTTCATTACCTCCACCTTCTCTACTTTCACTTGAAGTCCCAATCTTCGCTGACCTGCTCTGCTCTGCCCTGCCCTGCACTACCTCTTCTCTCAACTTGTTAGTTGTAGATCTTCGAGTTTGTGTGACATTATACACAAATCGTCGTCGGCGAAATCCAACCAAGTCTTCTAGGTTCTTTTACCCGATCCAGCATATCCCCCTCTTCTCGCTCACCTCTCTTTGTTGCATGATCCCGTTTAGTCCACTACAATCAGGAATATCATGGGTGATAGTAGACTGCAGCCTTGTTTCACTCCTGTCTGCACTTCAATTCAATGGCATCACTGAGCTTCCCATTGTGAATTACTTGGCTGGTATGTGGCGTCTTCATATAGTTATTGAATGAGATTGATACAGGTTTGTGGTACTCTGCAGTGTTGAAGCAGTTTCCAAATTACCTCTTGATCGAAGCTGTCAAAGGCCTTTTCAAAGTCGATGAGGTTACAATGGGTATTAGTTATTATTATTTCTTGATACTTGTAATCTCCCGTTGTTATAACCACGGAACCACAACCAGACCAATCCTGACAGTATAGAAGTATCCGCATAGAAGACCACATTGCAACGAAGGTTGGTCAATCCGATTCAGTATGAAAAAAGGAGAATTACAAGTATGAAGAAATAATATTATAATATTTGCAGTAACCTCTATGTATTTATTCCCCTTTGCTTTGATTCTCTTACGTCTAACCAAATCTTCTTTGTATGCTGCTGTGAAAACTTGAATGCTATATTCAATAAATCAAGTACTAGTAGTCTTCTCACTAAACAAGTGTGAACTACAGAAACAACCTTTCATTTCTATAAGTGAAAAACTTGGGCACTGTGGTAGAATGTAGTTCCATATTAGATTTGTTTATTTGATATAAAGCGCACAGTGATACAGTATTATTTAATTGATTACGTTTCGAGCATAAATTATTGCTCATAATCATATCAATGTAATCACACTTCTTTCGACATCTGATTTTATAGTCCTGTCACCTGATCTCTCTTTGTTTTTTTTTTGTTTTTTGATTGGTAGTAAAGTTTTCCATATCTCTGGTATAGGTGTTGCGTCATTCCTATTACATGTGTTGGGTGTGGATTCGATGAACAAAGATTCAGTAATTAATCTCTCTCTCCACCTAGCTATATTAGACTTAAGTACAGTGGTTTTGTCCCATCCTATTGTGTGGTTGTGTGTTAATGAATGTAATGCAATGGCTGAGTGTTTTTCTAGGTTATTGATCTTATTGGGGTCTGCCGTTCTATGTTTAGCTAAATTCCTATGTTCTGTTAATCTAACTGACCCCGACCGGCTAGTTTGACCTATGTACTTGACTTCACAGTCATTACATGGAATTTGGTAGAGTATATTATTTTGCTTAATTGGTTCTATCGGATCTTGTAGCCGACAAAGCTTACCTCTAAGTGAGTTTGTTGGTTCAAATGCCACCCCAATTCCAACCTTGTTGGGAATCCTACCTATGGTTTCTGATGTTCCTTCCTTGTATGGTATCACAATAGAGGTGTTGATTTCCTTTCTACTTATGTTGTCACTATTATTTGTAGTGTTATTCATCGAAGACTGACATCAGTTGGAGGAACAAAGGAAACCTGGGAGCAGTGGACAGCTGTTTCGTCTAGTATGGGACTCCTCAGCAGTGCGCACCCACGACCCCACCAGCAGGATCGAACCCGCGACCTTCAGGTTCCGCGACCAGCGCGTTACCATTGAGCACTGGGTCAGAATCCAATGCTCCATATTTCCAACTTCTGTTAGCTCACGATATAGCGCAAACCGCCACCCAATGTCATCGTTGAGTATTTGTCCTCACGGCCATCAGGCTTTGACTCCACCGGTCACGACTTGTCATTGGAACTTCGGGAATACTTCTCGAAGCTAGTCACCAACGAGCACTTGTTCAATTAAATTTTGAGGGGTTGTGGAGATTTGGAAATATTTCAAGTTGTTATTCATCGAAGACTTGTATTTGTATTAGTGTTATTATTTTGCTTCTTATGCGTCCGTGTGAATTTCTTAATAAAATGATGGGGATAATTATTATTATTAACGCTTCTTTTATGTGTTTCAATTCCTTATTTAAGTCCTTACAATGACTAGTGAGTTTCTCAGCTCTGTTATTTAGACATTTGACTAAACCCGCTTTAACTGACACTGGATGAGATGACTTGAAGTCTAGATACCTGTTAGAATGTGTTGGTTTTCTGTAGACGGTAGTATCTAAACCACCATCTATCCTTCGTTTTATTCTGCAATCCAACATAGGTAATTCTCCTTGTTCATTTTCTACTTCGTAAGTGAATTGGATTGCGTTAACTACTGAGTTTATGTGTGTCAAGAAACTGTCGATATGTTCCGATTTCAACACTGTAAATGTGTCATCTACATATCGCCACCATATCTTAGGTGTCGGATTATATGTTCGTAAAGCCATATCTTCCCAACTATCCATAAATATATCTGCTACTATAGGGGATATTGGTGATCCCATTGCTACTCCTTCTGTTTGTCTATATCTTTCCCTGAAACTTGAAGACTGTCGAGGTTAAGCATAACTGCACTCCTAACATGATTTCACCAACCGATGCCTTGGTTCTTTGAGTAAGTTGTGAGTCAGTATCTAGTTGATTTCTGACTGCCTCCAGTGCCATATTGATTGGTATTTTAGTATAAAGACTTGTTACGTCAAAACTAACCATTTTTTCATCCTCTTCTATGTGCAGGTCATTAAGTTTTTGTTTCAACTCGTAAGAATTTACTAGTCTAGAGTTGGAACGGTCTCTAACAGGACGTAATACTGATGCTAAATACTTTGATATCTCATATGTTGGTGTGTTTCGGAAGTCAACTATCGGCCTAATGGGATAACCTGCTTTATGAACCTTAATAGTACCGTAAATTCTGCTAGGATTATTAGTTTTTGGCATTAAAGTAAACCATTCGGACTTACCTAGAGATGGCTTCAGTCGGCGTATCAGATCTGTTGTAGATTTCTTAATTTTATTCATGACAGTATCTATAGGTTTCTTAATCTCTTCATATGGCCCTGTTTGGATATGTTCATCCATTTTTTTAAGATAATCCGATTTGTCCATAACTACTGTTGAGTTACCTTTGTCAGATTTAGCAATTACTATACTATTATCCTTTCGTAGATTGTTTAAAGCTGAATTTTCCAGTTTCGTTAAGTTTCGCTGTGTCTTCTTTTGTTTTTTAAGTGCTAATGCACACTGCGCTCTAACCTGTTCAGCAGTTGTCACATCCACCGAGCTTAATGCTACTTCTATGCTAGGTATGACATCTTCTGGTTTTAGATGATCTACTGTTATGTTGAAGTTTAGTCCTTTTTCAAGTACTTTCATCTCAGCTGAGCTTAAGGCTTTCGAGGAGAGATTGACTACCCACTTTGTTCTATCGATGTTCGATGATGTTTCCTTTGTAATTTCATTGTTTTCCGAAGCATATTTTTCTTGCATTAGTTTATTGAACTTTTTGATTTGATTTCTTCTAGATTTCTTGAGAGTAGCTAATCTTGCTTTGTCTGATGTTTCTATTATAAATCCATAGTCTCTGCAGTTTACTATCTTCATAATTTTACATTTAAGTTGTTCAATTTTATTCCGAATGGTACTTAATTTCTTAATAATCCTGTGAATTTCTTCTTTCAGACATAGTTTGCTGACATGTTCTATTGCCCTTTCGATTTTGTCAGTATATATTGGGATTCGTAGTCTTCTCACTAAACAAGTGTGAACTACAGAAACAACCTTTCATTTCAGTCACACACTACTCAGGTGACTTTTAAACGCCACCCTACCAATTGCTATAACAACCCAACCGGGTTTCCGTATTCCGCTTAGAAAGATGGCATTTCATAAATTATAGAAGTCTAATTGGTTGATATGCTTTCAAATCGTGCCACAACTATGATCACGTTACATGTATTAGAAAGTATCAAAGTTTCTCAATCGATAAGTTATTTTCAAAATCTACATCTTTATATAGGTCAACCAATCAAAAAACAAGGTCACTTCAACTAGGTGCATATTTATTGGTTGATTTGATGTATATATATATATATATATATATATATATATATATATATATATGCACTAAAAAACAACACTATTGGTAGATTTAAGTCTCAACACGGAAAAGATGAGCGCAGAAGTGGTAATAAAATCGGTACATAAAATATCAAGTTAATTGACTAAAATATCGAAATCATGTGCGCAATCCAAGGATAAGAAAAAAGTTGAGTAGATTAAAATCATTGAAGCCTATAAGATGATGAACTGTAAATACACCAAACAGGGTGTGGGGTAGGTGTATTTTTCAATGTAAAAAAAATGGATGTGGTGAAAATCAAGTTTTCTTCGTCTCCACAAAGGAAGAGACCAATATTAGAAGTATAAACGAAAATTATCATTTGTTGATCAATAAATTTATGCTGCTTTTCTATTAGAGGAAGGAATAAAAACAATAATAATTTAAGGGGGATGGGGGCACGAGATGGAGAAGAATAACAATCGATAAATTATGACAAAAATAATGACAATGAAAAGAGAAAAAAATTTCTGAATTTTCTTCAATGAAAGAAAATAACAAATGATAATGATTGAGAGAAGAGAAGTATAAAGCAGAAATGAGCTCATTTCAATTCACAATCAATGAATTGAGAAAAGCAAACAATAAAATAACATGCCAAGGAGGATCACAGTTGAACATTGAAAGTGTAACAGTTGACAATAAAAAACAGGTGAAATGAAGATAATCTCTTCCCGAAATCACTTAAACTTACCTTTGTTATCCTGATATTGCTCAACTTTATGAGGTACAGCAGAATAGAGGATAACAATTGTCACCTTCTAGTCATTCAGTCATAGGAGTATAGATAACGTGGAATATATCATGATAAAGTGGACCGGGTTCGAACTTACAACTGCTGAGATGAAATCTAGTAATGTGTGTGCGTGTGTGTGTGTGTGTCTGTATTCGCGTGCTATTCCTTTAATGACACGACTACGACTTCTTCATCTTCCCCTTCTTCATGTTCAGGTGAATTTAAAGACTTAACAGGCATTTCATCATCTAATGGCCAAACATGAAATTCATCTTCTTCTTCATTGAATGTAGCATCTGGTCCATCATCGCTTAGATCAACTTCAGCCTAGGAATAAAACATATATACATATATAGCCAATTTGGACGTCTACGAGGATTTATTGATTGCTTTCATATTGGTATCCATTATGAGATGAAATCAATTGGAGAAAAATTGAAAACGTGGGAGCATTGGACATCTGTTTCATCCTAGTGTCGAACTTTTCAACACTATGCATCCATGACCTATAAGTTCCACGGTCAGCATGTTAACAATGAGTCACTGGGTCGGAATCCAGTGATTCATACTTCCTACTTCTGTAAGTTCACGATCCAGTAGCTCAATGATGACGTGCTGGTCACGGGACTTGAAGGTTCTGGCTTCGATCACAGGGGAGGCCATGGGTACCCACTCATCACGAATACCATACTAGGACGAAACAGTGACCCCAGGTTTTCAATGTTCCTCCATATGATGTCAGTTCCTGATGAATACCACCCTGAAATATATGCATATTAAAAGGAGATAAAAGCAAGAAAATATTCGCAACTAATTAGAAAACGAAAGGTGATGACGAGTACTTATATTCCAGGATTTGATTGTTTACCTACTCATTTGTATGCAGGAAGAAAAGTGCTCCGTTTTCTTGCATCATTTGTATTGAAAATGATAACTAATCTCATATCGGTAGATTTACCCACTACAAATGAAACACGAATGACAAACCAGTTTACAAATGGCACACATTTTGGTAGTTAACAAAGAAGATCTTCTGCAGTTTGACTATTAAGAGGTCGCATAAAATTGAAGATTAGGATGAGAATAATGTGTGAGTACATTTGAGCCCAAAAACGATTGAATCGACAACCACCTGCAACTCGTCCAGAGATATCAACACCAGCCCAGCTCCACAGAAATATCAGTGAACACAAACCCTTCCACAAAAGTAGAAGTCCTAAATGCCATAAAATTACTAAAATCCGAGAAAGCATCACAACCAGATGGAATTCCTCTAGTAGCATTGAAAACAGACGCAGAGACATCGGCAGCGGATATCCTCACATCAATATTTCAGGTTTCGAAGGAAGGAAGGAAGGAAGAAAAAGTAACTGCAGACTGATTCGAAGAGGGGTTACCTTTTCAAACTCCCATACAAGAGTGACCTAAGTCCTTGCAAGAACTGGCGCGAAATCATCCTCTTGTTTACGCCAAGCAAAACATTAGGCTGTGCCATCATGGAGAGACTGAAAACTGCTCTGCATTCAAAATTACCACAGAAATAGGCTAGCTGGCTTTACGAAGAACAAATCATGTGTTGATCAGATTGCAACGCTACGCTACGCATCATCATAAGATAGAGCATAGAATAGTAGTCAACTCTTCAACTCAACCTCATCGACTATGAAAAAGCCTTCGGTCGAGGCGTTGACATAGGAGTAATTTGCCAGCTGCTTCAACACTATACAATGAGTGCCACCATCCTTTATCAACCACATTCAATAGCAGCTATGTGCTATATGATGCTACATACTAAGTGATTCACAATGGAAAGCTGACCAGTGATGCCTTTGAAGTGAAGACAGGTTAACAAGTAAGACAAGACAAGGTTGCCACCTACTTTCACCAATGATCTTCCTGATTGTGGTCGACTCGACTCGACTCGACTCGACTGGATGATGTAAGAAACAACTGTGAGAAGCGAGAAGATGTGTATACGCTGTTTCACCGATGAAAAGACCATAGAACATTTGCAGTTCGCCAATGATGATTTATGTCTTATGTCACATAAACTGGAATATGTACAGACGAAAAGTAACAAGTTGGCAGAAGAGGTGGGGTGATGCAGTGAAGACGGGACTTCGTTTAGGTGAACGTAGAGGAAACAGAGATGATGAAGATCCCCAACCAACCAACAACAACAACAAGCACCAATCACCATCAACTGGAGAAATGTGAAGGAAGTTGTTGCTTTCATCTACCTATTTACCAACCTAAACAGCATCGTTTCAACTACAGTCGGTGGTGGTGGGACAGATGACTATGTCGTAGCCAGCATCAGAAAGGCTGCAACACAGGCCTTCATTGGTCTTTGGAGATTTACTGCATTGCACTTCACTGAGTATAAACCACAGGATCCGGACTTTCAACACTAAGTAGTTAGTCAAGTCAATCCTTCTGTGTGATGATGATTGAGAGACTTGACGCCTTACGAAAAGCATTTCCTTCCAACAAATTGCAGACAAACATCATCAACAGCTGCCGCCTACTCCGTGATGAAGATCAGATGAGATTAGAAGGCGAGAAAGAATAAGCAAAGAGGGACTCTGGTCTGCCACCCACCCAACGAAGAAGCTGTCACTCAACAAATATACAGAGGAAGAAAGTGTAGATGGATTGAATTGGATTGAACATAGAGTGGGAAGATGGTTTGGGGACATCACGCACCAGGACAGGCCGTTGAGTAGAGCCGAAATGGGAAGCGACGTGCTTGACGCCCGAGTGGGACATAGAGATGGTGTGAGAAAGAAATGAAAGGTTATGGGGAGTCATGTGGTCAGGTTGAGAAGACTGGAGAGGAGAGAGTGAAATGGTGATGTACTACTGAAGCTCCATGTTCCACTAGGAACCCAAATGAAAAATAAATCAAAAAATAATAAAATCATCTGTGCCAATGACATCGAACCTATGCCATATAACCTACGTTTCTAACCACCCGTCTCTGTTATCACTTGCACCTTGACCAGGAAGTCTACAGTTCTCTATACTGCTCAGATCAATAGATAAAGATATCGTAGACTGGTTCCATGTAACCAAGCCTGTAACCGTTTTCCAGCTTAAACGTACTTCAACTAGCATTGTGCGATGAAGATGATAACTAGACATGTGCAACATATATCCCAACCGTCTGAGTCGATGAAGGTTCACAACCTGATCAACCGAATTTTCTCTTCCACCTAAAACTTTACGTCTCACTTCTACATTACTGACATGATGGTTCGATGGCACAAAGCTTACGCTACGGAGGGAACATCGGTCAAACACCTGAATCCGTCTCATGTTCCTTAACTTTAATGATCATGTAATGGAACAGATAGAACTGTAGTGCAGTACAATTGACCCTGAGTAGGCAATCAGACATCACGATGGCGAAATCCAAGGGAACTTTGTGTATCTGTGCACAAATATCGTCAGTCATCAATCGACCAAGCAAAGTGATCATAGAGGTTAAAAATTTCATTCCTAATTGTTAGACAGAGAACCAGCGAAGACCAGACCTGGAGCAACAATTTGACTTTGGGTGGTGAGAAATGCATCGCAATCATTCTCGAATTACGGGTCAATGTGTCTAGAAGACTCTGAATTTTATCAACGTCTTCACCCGAAAAGAACTTTTTTCATTTTCATAATGTAGGTTTGCTAAACAGTTTAGTGTGACCAGGTCAATTCTTGTGAAGTCAAACAATGAGAGGGAGTTCTCTATAAGGAACATTTATGATAAAATTAAAGGAGAATGGAGTAAGTGAACATTCTTGATGAACACCAGTCGATGGACACAGCTTACCTGACATCCCGCCATAAGCTCTGAAACGTTCAAAGTTGTTCGAATACAGGATGGTAAACTTACTCGTCACCTTTCAGTGAGACATTACCATGAGGTCACCAAGTGGAGTGCTAAGTTGAGGTTAGGAAATATAGTTAGTGTCAGGCGCTCAAAAGTGTGTTTATTTCCCAACAGCTGGTTGAGACACCCATAACTAGGTCTGAAACCTGTCTAGTTTTCTGAGGTTATTTGTTCCTCAGCTTCAATGAAGTGTCTAATGATAATATTAATGATGGATCGTGGCTAGCAATGGAGTCCAGGATGCGCATTTCGTCCTATTTGGGACTCACTGCTCAGCTGGATGTACCTGCTTCCCAGTGAGTGATGTTGTTCCCACCGGGATTTGGACTCGGGAGTTATCCACTACACCACCGAGTCACGATAGCCACTTCTTGTGCGACGGTTATAGTTTTTAGTATAAGGGTTTTTTTAATATGATATCATCGTTGATTGGACCTAATTGGTGGTGACTAGTAGTAAAATTCAGGATGCGCATTTTCTTCTATTTGGGACTTGTTAGCTATGTGTACTGCACTCCCGTGAATGATGATGCTCCCCACCGAGATCAAATCCAAGAATCACAGAGGCCAATTAATTGGTCCAAACCAATAGACAATGGGAAATAACAAGTTCCAATATGGAACTATTCCCATTGCAAAAGATATAATTCTCATAGCCTAGTGGGCTTAGGGGATAACACTTTGAAGTTTGAAGTGATGGGTGCTGGGTTCGAGTTCCGAACGGAACAATATCACTTCCAGGTGATCAGTTCAAAATAGGACAAAGTGCGTATCCACTACTAGAACCCAACAAGCAAACTGCAATAATTACTTTTATATATATATTTCTTTTTGAAAATCTCACCTCTGTTATACTTGATATAGTAGTACAAGTTGATGTCATCAACATCATTGAATTTGGTGTATACAAATGTAATGCATTAGCATTATTATGTCCAATTGATCTTTGTGTAACCACTTTTAATGATTTATCCTCAATATCATCACCATTACAACCACCACCAATAGCATTATTCTCATCATCATCATCATGGGGTACATGGAGTGGATTCGAAGTTGTTCTAATCATAGTATCATTTGTATCAATAGAATTAAGCATACAAGGAACAGGTAAATTTGTTGTAACATCATTAGAAACAGGAATATTATCAATTAATAATTGAATTGGTATCTGTTGTTGTTTTCTCAGTTGACTACGTACACGTCGAACATGATATTCTTTATCACTTAAACTATCCATCATATGAGATTGTAATTCATTGGCTAAATTTTCAATACTCTGGTAACACCATATGAGAGAGATGAGAAAGGGGGGAGGGGGGAGGTGAAAAAACAAGAAAAGAAAATAGATAATAAAAAGTGTTCATTGAATGATATATAGTAAACAGAGGAATACACTCATTTGATCTTAGGAAAAGACAAGATGTAGTTGTAGCGATGAAGAAATTTTCTTGTTATTATCCAGCAGCTGTACTATGGCGTCACTACGAATACTATTCAACCTGACTGGCAAACAGAGAACAGGAATGTATCTTCAGTTCAATAACAGAACACCTCGTAAACTTAGACCACCTAGCTCCAAACTTCTCTATAGGGTTCGACTAAACCACTCGGACGGAGTAGGATCAAGATATTTATCTGTAGCTGAAGCACTAGCCATCCCGAAGTTCAAATCAGCGTTATGCAACTAAAAAAGCTACGTCCAACCTTTATCTTTACCATAGCTAACATAAAGCTTTGTCTGTCATAGATTATTCATGCTATATTAGGTAACTATACATGTATCTCTATAATCTCTTGTTTATTTTTCCATTCTAAACCCAAATATGTATTAATTAACTTTCCTTTAGTTACCCAATATATTTTGCCGCCAAACCGGAAATAATTCTGGAACGTTCTGTCCACTGTAACATAAATTCACAAATGTACAGCTTAGTAGTAAATAACTTCGTTGAAAAGAAAAAAAATTTCGCTGTAACCACGACTTGTCTTTTCGTATGATATACAGTAACCTTCCAAATATTTTCCTAATGAAGAAAATATAAAACAGGAACAAGACTTATGTGTATAAGAGATAGCACTTTCAAGTTGTTATTCATCGTTCACTGACATAAGTTGAAGAGGAACAAAGGAAACCTGGAAGCACTGAACACCTATTTCGTCCAACTAGTAAGGGACTCTTCAGCAGTGCGCATCCACCACCCCACCAGGGATCGAACCCGTGACCTTCAGGTTCCGTGGTCAGCACGTTACCGTTGAGCACTTATGGTTAGATGGTTTCCAACGGATTCTCCCGTGTGTTGACAACATGAGTAAACAGTTGAACTTTCAGAAATAACCTCGATTTTTTTATGATTACAAATTCATCATACTCCAGCTAGTTAGATTCAATTGATATGAACAATTTGGCTAAATAAACTGAAATTGTACGCATACACCATTGACGAACTCAGCTTTAAATAAGCGACGAAATTTACAGATCAGTGCGAACGATTCTCTCAACTACTCGTTTTATTCAGTAGTATATTTTTCTTCAAAGCTTTCGTGATCATAGATGTTTCTCATCACCATCGCTGTCGATAAGCATAACAAATTCTTTTCTTTAAGAGGTACAAACTAGAATAAAGGCCAAACAACAACAGGCGAAAACAAACAGCTTGATGGAAGACGCAGCGAAAACGGGACTTCAAGTGAATGTAGAGAAGACAGAGGTGATAATGTGATACCCAACCAACACAACAACAAACTCCAATCACAATCAACGGGAGAAACTTAAAGGAAGTAGTCTCTTTCACCTATCTTGGCAATGCAGCATCGTTTCAACTACAGGTGGAGGCACAGGCACAGGCGAGGACGAGGACGAGGTCATCAAAGACAGCCAGGATCAGAAAGATAGCAAGACAGGCCTTCCTTCATTAACCTGAAACCAGTGTGGAGGTCTACTTCACTGCACTCATCACAATGTGTGAACAACATCCGAATTTTCAACACCAATTCAGTCAAGTGACTACTTCTTTGTGATTGTTCAGAGACTTGGCGCGTTTCGAAAGGGATTTCCAACAAAGTACAGATATTGATCAACAACTGCCTACACTGGCTGGTTACTGAAGATGGAGATCAGATGATAAGGCGAGAAAGAATAAGCAAGGAGGAACTCATTCTGGCCTGACAACGAACCAAGGAAGCAAGAAGCTATCGCTGAATAAATGTGCACTGGAAGGAAGTGGAGATGGATTGAATTGGCATTCACTGAGAAGGTCGACTGAGGACATCACGCATCAGGCCAGGCCCTCGAGTGGAAACCAGATGGGAAGCGACGAGTTAGGCGTCCGAGATGAGGGTGACATGGAGGAGATGGTGTGAGGTAGAAATGTGAGCTTGTGGGCAGTCGTGGAGCCAGGTTTGCAATATTTGAGAGAGGAGAGTGGAATGGAGTAGTGCTACTGAGATCCTATGTTAGACTAGGAACCCAAGGGACAAAGAAGAAGCAGAAGAAGAAGAATGAAAGTCATTAAATATGAACTCAGTGACAATATTGTTTACCAATGTCACTAACAAACTCAAAGTTACCCTTCAAACTAGGTCTAATCAGTTAAGCGGATCACCAAAACACTAAAAGTAAATTTGAATCTTTTTATCAAAAAAACCTCGAAAGGTGCATCCATGAACACTCTGAAGGTTGAAGCGATTGGTATTACAGTTGGAGTCTCCGTGGAGGTAATAACATTCACTGGGGGAATGAAGGTATACACAAGCAGCCGACTAGTCTCAAACACGAAGAAACATATTTCTTGGGTCCCACTGTTTACCAAAAAGGTAGACGATAACATAAGGAATATTTAGAAAATATCAAGGCATCCGCCCATAGAGAAGTATATATTCAAGCAGAGGTCCAATAAATTCAATTCAATAAACAATACCTGATACCTGCTGTAAAAGAGGTGACTATCATGTCTCAGTAGTCTAGTGCATAACGTTTTGGTCTTTGAATCTCATTGGGGGCAACATCACTCACTGGAATGCAGGTACATCCAGCTGAAGAGTTACAAACAGGATGAAATGTGCGTCCTGAACTCCACCGTTAGCCTCTAAGCAGATTAAGACTTAATGACATCCTATTTTGAGAAGTGAAAACTATAAAACAAACATCCTTAACTTTATGAAATTAGGTCAGGAAAGTGTTCATGGAACGGTGGATAATGGATATTACTATTATTTGTACCCTTGAGTTCCTAGTGGAACATAGGACCTCAGTAGCACTACTCCATTCCACTCTCTTCGCTGAAATCTTGCAAACCTGGCTACACGACTGCCCACAACCTCTCATTTCCCCCTCACACAATCTCCTCCATGTCACCCTCATCTCGGACACCTAACTCGTCGCTTCCCATCTGGTTTCCATTCAAGTGCCTGGCCTGATGAGTGATGTCCCCAGTCGACCTTCTCAGTGAATGCCAATTCAATCCATCTCCACTTCCTTCCAGTGCACATTTATTCAGCGATAGCTTCTTGCTTCCTTGGTTCGTTGTCAGGCCAGAATGAGTTCCTCCTTGCTTATTCTTTCTCGCCTTATCATCTGATCTCCATCTTCAGTAACCAGCCAGTGTAGGCAGTTGTTGATCAATATCTGTACTTTGTTGGAAATCCCTTTCGAAACGCGCCAAGTCTCTGAACAATCACAAAGAAGTAGTCACTTGACTGAATTGGTGTTGAAAATTCGGATGTTGTTCACACATTGTGATGAGTGCAGTGAAGTAGATCTCCACACTGGTTTCAGGTTAATGAAGGAAGGCCTGTCTTGCTATCTTTCTGATCCTGGCTGTCTTTGATGACCTCGTCCTCGTCCTCGCCTGTGCCTGTGCCTCCACCTGTAGTTGAAACGATGCTGCATTGCCAAGATAGGTGAAAGAGACTACTTCCTTTAAGTTTCTCCCGTTGATTGTGATTGGAGTTTGTTGTTGTGTTGGTGGTGGTGTTGGTTGGGTATCACATTATCACCTCTGTCTTCTCTACATTCACTTGAAGTCCCGTTTTCGCTGAGTCTTCTGTCAAGCTGTTTGTTCTCACCGGTAGATCTTTCAGTTAGTGCGACATGAGACACAAGCAATCGGCGAAATCCAAATCTTCTAGGATCTTTTCCTCGATCCAGTGTTTACTCCTCTTCTCGCTCCTAGTAGATCCTAATAAGATAAGAGATTTAGAGAAAAGCTCAGTCATAGCTCTGCATGCAATTACACACAATCACACAATAGGATAGGATAGAACAACAGCGTTACAAACTAACCTAATTGAGTGAAGGGAGGGAGAGATTGATAACCGACTGAATGTTTGTTTATCAAATCAACACCAAATACATGCAGTTATGGGAATGATTCTGCACCTGTCCCAGATATATGGAAAATTCTACTACCCTTGTCATCACGAAGAGGGAGAAAGGAAAATCAACACGATTTGTTGATATGATTGTGGTTCTCCGTTGTTTTACTGGATCGAATTGTTCGATTACTATTGACGTATGGGCTCTTATGCGAATGCTTTGATATTCCTGAATGTTAATTACGGTAATTTACTTGGTTGCGGCTAGCAGAGGAATCCAAGATGCACGTTTCCTCCTGGAGGAGGAACTACAAACATATCAACAAATAATAATAACTAAAACCCGTTGTACAAGAGGTGGCTTTCGTTCTTCTATGGCCTAGTTGATAACACATTGGCGTTTGAAGCGATGTGTATGAGGTTCGAGTCATGGTGGGAACAACATGACTCACTAGGAGTGGTACAGGTACATCCAGCTGACCAATGAGTCCGAAATAGGATGAAATGCACTTCCTGGATTCCACTGCTAGAGCTACAACCGAGTAAACTCTATCTCAAAGCTGTAGGGTTACTTGATATGCATATGGACAAGAAAGTAGGTTATTCGGTAAGTGGATACTGTTCCTTCACTGTGTGACATTTCTAATAGACAGAGTAAAATGGAATTACAATCTACCACAGTGTCAAAGTTTTACTCTGATATTACAGGAAAACCACTTCTCAACTCTGATAAACAGTATGCAGAAATAAATTGGTAACGGTGGCTCGGAGGGGGGGGGGGGCGAAGACGATATTTCATCGTTCACTTTTAGTGAGTTAAGAAAGCTTGGCATATGTGATATCAAGAGGAATGCTGATGATTATTAAAGTATATTGATTATCTCTGAATATTTTCAGTAGTTTTGAAAGTAAGGTAACTGAGGAATAAGATTTGAACATCATCATCTGCGGTGATGATCAAATTCTAGGGATTTTTTCATATCCTTCAACTCATAGTGGTTATGTTTCGTAATTACATAATAAGAGACTGCATACTACTTACTCAACGAAAGAGTTAGTCTTATTCGACTATCCTACAAACAACTTTGAATTCTTGAGGTCATTCAAGTCATTTTAAGAAGGATACTACATATGAGTATAGTAAATGAATAGAAACAACTAACCATATATGTACGGGTACCAGCAGATGAAAGAGGCGATGAAGAAGCTGAGAAAGATGTTGAACGATAATTTGACATTACATCAAATCGATTACTACCACTGCTACTATTTCTTCTAGGTTGTGATGAAGAGTAAATTCTTGAATGACAACGATGTTGATGATGATGACGAGAATACAAATCACTTGTTGTTGTTGTTGTTGTCATCGTTGTGCTGGTGACAGAATTTCTCAAGTATAACTGACGTGAAATAATTTGACGTCGACCAGGATATTTTCTTAGTTGAATTTTTTCATTCAATGCCGGCTCCTCTGGATCATTATTATTATTATTATTATCATTATTATTATTATTATTATTATTATTATTATTATTATTATTATATGATAATCTATTATTATGGGTGAATGACGGTGATGATGATGATGGTATGTAAAGATTTTGGTTCATGTCAACAATCTCATCGATACCAATATCTTGATTATTGTCATTACTATTCGATTTAATTGGTATACTTGAATTTATTGTAGAATAATTCGGTGAGAATAATGATTCACACTGATTTTTATCGATTGTTGGTCTCATCATCATTGTCTGTTTCGGTTGACGATGATAATGATGATGATGATGATTATGATGATGCGATGAACACTTACTAGGTGACCATAATGGGCTCACGTGTTCCAAGAAACGAAAGCCTTCAGTAGTAATTATTTCAAAATTATTTTCGGTTTCTCCGGTTGAATTTTTATTTGTTACTCCGTAGTTGATAGCCTGTTGTATGTTACTGTGAAGAGAGTAAAAATATAAGAAATATGAGGACTGATTACACGACACAGATAAAGTTTTCTACATTTACAAATAAATTTTAAAAACTACAGGTAGAACAGTTTAAAAACAAACGCCAGGTTTTCAAGGCCAATACACATGAGTAGTCATCATTATACACTTACACTACCTTGATATGCTTGTCAGAATTGGATATCACAATAACCTAACGAGCTTCAGTAGCTGGAACGCTTTTCCCCTCGAGGTATCACGATACCAGAAATGTCAGTTCAGTAGTGAGACAAAGGGTATTTATTGTCATAACGTGAATAGCTGTGCTTTGATGGCGGCGGGGGGGGGGGCTCAGGTCAAATTCGTACTGTTGGCTGGATGAAGCGAGATGGTATTAAGATGTTCTTTCTCTTAGATGATCAGAAGTGCAACGCTAATGCTATCTCCCCTATGGGAATTAGGCTCGAAAAGGTAGGTCCCAAAGATAGCCCCCTGTTTTCTACATCACAGTATGCCATTGTCGGCGATATCGGTTCATAGTCAGGTTCTCAAAAAATAAACTATCAAACTTCTAAGGAGACTATGTGTGAACAGCTACAAACGAATGTCCCGTGGGCTCTGCGGTCACGCACTAACCCTTCTTTCTTCGACACTACAAAGATAACTAGCTTTCCGAAATGTGAAGAGACTCACAACTCTATCATTATCCAAGTTCCCTGAGATTCGCACCTAAGTGTTATAAAAATGTAGGCAAAAACAACCGACCATCACGAATTGAAGATAACCAAACAGTATATAAAGTTGATAATGGGTGATGACTTAAGATGAGATGCAAATTTAAACAGCTGCCAGCGACTACCAGATAGATAGATAGACCACATTGCTATTAGTCATCTGGAGAGGATCGGTGGAAGACTGCCGCTCCTTCTGGAGTACGTGTTTGGACAGCGATCATGCGTTGGTCCGAGCACGTATATGCCTGCGTCTCAATGGACGTAGAAAAAATTTGGCAACAAAACCACTACGAGTCTGCTGGAAACAAACACCAAAGCCGTGTTCAGTGAGAAGTTGGCTAGGCAGTTATCGGAACAAAACTGTCACTCATCCAGAAGAAGCTTGGTGCCATCTTCAGTCTGTAAAAGCAGCACTGAGACTGTCCGACTCCAATGGCTAAAAAGAGCCAGTGGATATCAGCAGCTTCTTCCAAACTAATGGATGCACGTGAATGCATCCCTGCAGGCTCTGAGTACAATGAAGAGCGAGCGCAACTTAAAATAACTGACGAAAAGTCTGCGCAACGATCGTGAACAGTGGTGGGCAGCAAGGCTAAAGAGATGGAAAAGGCAGCGGCGATCGGTAACAGTAGACAGTTATTTAGACTTATTAAGGAGACTGGGGGGAAAGGTCAACAACAGTTAGTTATAGCGGAGAAGGACTCGATTCACTCGCAGAGGCGACTGGACGATGGGCAGAACACTTTGAGGAACAGTTTAACTGGCCTCCAGCCACATTGCGCTGCCCGCTATCCAGTCGGACCCTGAATGGGACATAGAGACAGGCCCCCAACACTAGAAGTTGAGAAAGCGGTAGGTAGCCTGAAACGGGAAGGGCAGCAGGACCAGACGGACTACCTGCTGAGGTATACAAGAATGGTGGTAGAGTCTCTTAGTCAGGTTAACGGAAGTGTTAGCCAGTATATGGGAATCAAATACGATCCCCTCCGACTGGTCTAAGTCACTCATCATCAGTCTTCAAGAAAGGCGAGAAGTCCTCTTGTGATAACCACAGAGGAATCAGCCTGACAAACATAGTGTCTAAGATCCTAGTTCTATAATTCTCCGACGCCTGAGTGGAGCTCGGGAACAGCAAGCCCGAGAAAACCAGGCAGGCTTTAGACCTGGCCGTGGTGTATCGACCAAATATTCACACTGCGCCAGGTCCTGGAACATAGGCATGCTTACAGACGCCCGACAATAGCTGTATTTCTCGACCTGAAGGCGGCATTTGACTCCGTTGATCGAGAAGTCTTATGGCAATGTCTGTCACTGAAAGGCGTGCCTAGTAAGTACATCACCTTATTGAAAGCTCTCTACTCGAACACTTGTGGGCATGTTAGAGCCTATGGTGAGTTGTCCAGGGAGCTATACTCATCAAGTGGTGTCCGTCAAGGATGCCCACTATCCCCATTCTTATTTAATTTTATCATAGATATTCTTATGGAGGTTTCCCTCTCGTCACCTAATTACAAGAGTTGACCAATCACAGGTGAATTTTCTTAGATCTAGAATATGCAGATGACATAGTCCTGTTAGGTGAAGACGCTGACAAGATGCAGAGTCTTCTGAACACTTTGAGTGGGAATTTGAGAATGTTTGGGATGCGATTTTCACCACCCAAATGCAAATTTTTGCTCCAGGACTGGTCTTCAGCGGTACCGCGGCTAACAATAGAGAGTGAAGTGGTTGAGTGTGTTGACCACTTCACTTACCTGGGAAGTAGGATCAACCCGGTGGGTTAGTTGCCGATGAGATTTCTGCACGGATACAAAAGGCTCGATTGGCTTTTGCCAATTTGCGCCACCTATGGCGCCGCCGTGATATTCGTTTGTCTATTAAGGGTCGCGTGTACTGCACAGCAGTCCGCTCTGTTCTACTGTATGGCTGTGAAACATGGCCATTGAAAGTGGAAGATATAAAAAGGCTTCAGGTGTTTGACCACCGTTGCCTTCGTAGTATAGGACGTATTCCGTGGTGTCACCATGTGAGTAATGCAGAAGTCAGGTGTAGAGTTTTAGGGAGAAGAGGTAAGTCAGTTGACGAGGTTGTGAACCTTCATCGACTGAGATGGTTGGGACACGTACTACGTATGCCTAGTCACCGATTGCCTCGTCACACAATGTTGGCTGAGGTGGGTCAGGCTGGAAAAAGGCCCGAGGTGGCCAGACTAAAACATGGCACCAATGTATGAAGTCTCTGACTGTTGGTTTAAGCCATGTAGGACGATGCAGACTAGGTGGTTGGGGTCCACGGGACAAGAGGAACCAGTGGTTGGAGACTCTAGGTGATATGGCTCAGAACCGATGTCAGTGGCGCAGATGTATACACACATTATCCTCATCTTAACAACGCTATACCGAATCTCACCATTTTGTCACTCCTCTTTCCTTTCTTCTCGTACTTTATATTTCTTTTGACTGCATTCACTTATCTTCATCCTTCACCTCACTACCTTTTTACTTGATGCTGACGTGAGGTGTGGCAACTCGGACCGTTACGCAGTAATGCCTGGTCCTATGTTGATAATGATGATGATGATGATGACTACCAGGTTTCTGGCCCGATAGTCTACCAACTGAGCTATGAGACCCGACTTCAATCACCAAGAGTTTTGTCCGACTACAATGTCAATTCGTGACCCATTACTACCGCCTGATCGTATTGACACCGGCTGTCCTAATCAGGACTTTTCATCCCAATCCATATCTAACTGAATTAGAGAGGGGGAGCATCATATTGATTATTGTTTTGATTATCTGAGATAGCTAGATAGACTAGTGTTGATATTGGATAAACTATGAGTGAAGGAGTTAGTTACGAAAAAAACCCAGAAAATTCACACCCCTAACTTATATACACATGAAAACAGCAGTCAATCAAGTTTGTTGTATTACTCAGGAAAGAAAATATGTAAAATTTGGACAAGTATGTTTTAAGCTCTCTTTTAAGTCACTTCTCCAGCACCTTTGCTTCTGTTGAGCTTAAAACCTTAGTTGAGAGATTGACAACTCAATTTTGGTTGCATTGTGTTCTCTGAGCTGGGTTGTTTAATCGTGAAGCTTTCATCGTCTTGCTAGACAGGGACATCATCAGCACTAACTTCACTATGAGTAGTGAGCTGTCAATATCTCTCCGTCAGTGATTTAGTAGCTGGCCTTGACGGAGCGGTCTATGATTGGTTGTTTCCTTCGATTATTGTGTCATTGATTGTATAGACTTTCCTGTTGGCTGTTCCTCTGTTTCACCTCTCACCTTTCTGTCTTCTGTCATTTTTCTTATTGGTTAGTGGATTGGGTCTATGTCTATACATGTGTTGATTGCTCACTGACTGAGCTGAATGCCAAGCTTCTAGGAATTCTCTGATATTTTTTGTGTTTCCTCTGTCCAAAATTTCTACATCGTCGAAATTGAATTCATGTCCATAGTTGTTATCCACAGGCATTGAAATTAGTGATGAAATGTCGCGTGTGATGTATAATAGCCAATTGAGGCTCATGTAGATGAAGGCGAAGCGGGCGACCACTTTGTTTAATGCAGTGTTGATTGCAGGTATTGCAGTTGATTTTGTAAATGATATTCTGTTTATCTTCTTTGCTTGCTGCATCCTTTGGTCTGTATGAAAGTGTTCGGAGAAACGAAGAAAATTAATTGATGTCTACCCTAAAGAAGAACGGCTACCCACGAAACTTTATCAGAAGATGCCTATCCCGTGCATCACCAACTACAAAGTCATCGACAGAAATCAACAAACGCATTTCATACCATACATCAAAAGATGTATCAGAAATCACGATAAGACTGCTGAGGCCACTTGGACTTGGTGTGGCCATTCATAAAACAACTAATTCCCTGCAAACACTTTCATGCAGACCAAAGGATGCAACAAGCAAAGAAGATAAACAGAATATCATTTACAAAATCAACTGCAATACCTGTAATCAACACTACATTAGACAAAGTGGTCGCCCACTTCGCCTTCATCTACGTGAGCCTCAATTGGCTATTAAACGTCACACAGGGCATTTCATCACTCATTTCGATGCATGTGGATAACAACTATGGACATGAATTCAATTTCGACAATGTGGAAATTTTGGACAGAGGAAACACAAAAAAATATCAGAGAATTCCTAATTATGGACAAAGGAAAGAACGAGTCGAGAGTGTGTGTGACATAGAGGAGATGGTGTGAAGATGAAATGAAAGGTTATGGGGAGTCATGGAGTGAGGTTGAAACGACTGAAGAGGAGAGAAATGCTGCTGTTCTACTGAAGCCCTATGCACCACTAGGAACCCAAAGGAAAATTTTAAAAAAAATAGACATTTGTGCCAATGACACTGAACCTAAGCCATATAACTTGGAGTTTCTAACCACCAGTCTTCGTTTTCAAAGAAGACGGGTCTTCCTTCAGGTGAACGCAGAGAAGACAGAAGTGATGAGGATACCCAACCACCACCGTCACCAACAACAATAAGCACCAATCACCATGAACGGGAGAAATATGAAGGAATTCGTCTCTCTCACCTACCTATCTACCTACCTAGGTAGCATCGTTTCAACTACAGGCGGCGTCACGGGTACACATGACGATGTCAACGCCAGCATCGGAAATACAGCAAGACACGCCTTCATTAACCTGAAGTCAGCATGCGGATGTACTGCACTCAGCATAAGGCGTGAACAAGATCCGGGTTTTCAACACATAGTAGTCAGTCCTTCTATGTGATGATGATTGAGAGACTTGACGTCTTACGAAAAGCATTTCCTTCCAGCAAATTGCAGACATATATCATCAACAGCTACCACCTACACTCGTTCCATACTTAAGATCAGATGAGATGAGAAGGCGAGAAGGAATAAGCAAGGAGGAACTTTAGTCTGGCAACGAACCAACCAAGGAGCTATCGTCCAATAAATATGCGAAAGAAAGTGGAGATGGATTAGATATAGACTCAGAAGACGGTTCCGGGCCATCACACGTCAGGTCAGTCCGTCGAGTGGAACTCAAATGGGAAAGGACGAGTTGGGTGTGTGAATCGAACATGGAAGATATGGTATGAGGAAGAAATCAAAGGTTATGGGCAATAGTGAAGCCATGTTGAAGAGATTGGAGAGAAGAGAGTGAAATAGTGCTGTACTTCTGAAGTCCTATGTTCCACTAGAAACCTAAGGGACAAACAATAATAATAATTACCCCATCGTTGATTGGACCGAATTGATCCGTCTCTATTGGCATTTGGGCTCCTGTGTGGATGACTCGATATAACCGGTGCTATAATGGTAGTAATGATGGATAGTGGCTATCAGTGGAATCCAGGATGCACATTTCGTCCTATTTGTGACCCGTCAGCTGGATTTACCTGCTTCCCAGTGAGTGATGTTGTTCCACCGGGATTTCAACTCGGCAGTGATCGCTTCAAACGCCAGAGCGTTATTGCTTGTCCAATCAACGAAGGTACAAGCAATAATACTAAACCTATACCCGTCTCACAAGAATTGGCTATCGTGGCTCAGTGGTGTAATGGATAACGCTTTGGCGTTTGAAGCGATCACTTCCGAGTTCAATTCTCGGTGGGAATAACATCACTCATTGGGAGTAAGGTACATGCAGCTGACTGTTGAATCCCAAATAGAGACTAACTGAGCATCCTGAATTCCACTGTTAGCCACTATCCATCATTACTATCAAAGAAAATAGTTTTAAAAGATTGTGAATACCTTTCATTCAAATCAGTATTCAGTATAGATACTGGATGATGGTGATAATGTTTCGACTGTTGACCAGTGTATTCATATCTTCCAAACAATGATGTTGATATATTTTGAATGACATTCATTTCTGTTTGACTAGAAGAAAGTTTGTTAATAGTCAGCTTACAATCAGGTAATGAACGATGATATTTTAAGTTATGCTGCAGTAATGATGGCAATGCTGTTGATGAAGATGATGATGTTGTTAAGAGTAGACAAGGTGAAGAAGATATAAGATGAGATGATTTGTAATTGAATTGATTAATTCTTGACTTAAGTGATATACATGAACAAACTCCATTCAGATGACAAAATTGACTTCTTAGTTGTGGATATTCTACACATTCATCATTTGTTAACTTTAATCTCTGCATATAAAGTAATAAAGAGTCTTGACTTAAGGAACGGTTTAGTGGATAGTTGGTTTTGTAACATACTGATTGTAAATTCACGTTATACTTATTATTATTATTATTATTAGTATTGTTACGATTATTATTTTGCAGAGGTTGTTGTGATTTAGGCAACATTGTATCATCGACTGTTGAGCCTTTGGTAGAATCCTTAATTTTAGAATGTTTCTCACTTGTTTCATTATATTTCGGTTGATTAATCTATTAAAAAGGCAAGAGAGAAAATAATAAAGTAAAATTACTGGAATTAACTACTATATCAGACATAATTAACGCTTATATTGTGTATTTTGAATATTACTGATTACTATTGCACTGGGGGGTTGCTGATAACAGTGGATTTCAGTAGTATATGTCGAGAGGATGGCAGAAATTATAGGGAATTACCAGCAATGGGTAAGGATTCCGCTAAGAGAAACCTAAGAGACAAGTCAGGCGTAAGAAGAGTAAATCAAGAAAGAAACAGAAGAGGAAATGAAGTACATTTTGCAAATGACGGTTTTAACGGCTACTGTCCCACTTGATGATATTCATTCGAAGTGCAGCCACCTCTTCCTGAATGTTTTCAATTTGTTTTTTACAGTTATTTACCTCTGGTGACTGAACTACAGCTACTGCTGTACCCATCAGCTGTTGATCACATTGGCCATCTCCGTAATATCCATGGCTTGGGCTGCGTTGACTAGTTCTAGCTGCTGGGCGATAGCATTCGGGACACTTTCGGTGAACTGTGCAGTCAGCAACTGCTCCTGCGACTCTTCATTCAACGTGGGAAGTGCTAGTCAAAGTAATTTGGTCAACTTCATAGCCAACATCACCGGATCTTCATCTATACCAAATTTCGTGCTCCGAAACTGCTGTATCGTCAGCTCCCTATCCGCTGGGCTGTCAAACTCCACATCCAATCATTTAAGCATCCTCTGCGAAGTTCCTTCTCATCTCCACGTTCCACGCCATCATACGCTACTTTCACCCTATCCCTACCCCTCAGCAACGTACCAAGTACCACCTCCTTCGCTCCTGGATCCGGGACACCCACCAGCTCCGCGACCGACTCGAAGTCCCTAAGAAAGACCTTGATGTCTATATCCCAAACTCCGTAGACCACGGAATCTCCATCACGTCCAGAAGTAACGACACCAATTGAAAGGAGCAAGAAGATAGGTATAAAGGAAGGACTATCAACAAGTGGTACAGTAGTGGTTAAATATGGTACACCTTGCACTAAAACCATCATTTGCATGATGTGCTTCATTTCCTCTTCTGATTCTTTCTTGATTTACTCTTCTTACGCCTGACTTGTCTTTTGTGTTTCTCTTGGTGGAATCCTTACCCATTGCTGGTAATTACCCATGATTTCTGCCACTTTCTCAACATATACTACTTGTATCCGCTCTTATCAGCAACTCGCACTACACTATATGAGTAGACTGTCTTGATTGACACATTGATTCATACATAATCCAGGATAATGATGATTGGACTTGGCAGAGAACCTTATTACGGTAGGATTCAAAGCAGTACCGTTTGAATCCTTTTACCATTTGAACCCCGATAGACTGAACCAGTTTAACTCCTATAGTACAGTGATAACTTTGAACTCATTTATTACTTATCAACTAATGTAGGTGTGCACACGATACACAGTGAAAAAGGGAGATAATAAATACTGAATAACAATGCTAATACTGGATGGTGGTTTCTAGGACGTGAGTTTCGTCCCATTTAGGACTCGTCAGCTGGGTGTACCTGCCTATTAGTGAGAGATGTTGTTCCCACTAGGACTCAAACCAAGGACTAATCACTTTAAACACCAAAGTTTTGTCCACTAGGCCATTGAGTTACGGTAGCCACTCCTTGTGTGACATGCATGTCATGATTTCCCTTATTTTATAGCCTGTAAGTCACTATCGTTGACTCGACTGAATTGACCGGCCGCTACTGGTATATGGGCTCCTGTGTGGAGGTATCGATACTGTTGATATTTTCAGTTTCGATATCGATGATGGATAGTGGTTAACAATGGAATGGAAGGAAGAGCGTCTCATCCTATCTGGGACTCGTCAGCTGAATATACCTACTTTCTAGTGAGCGATGTTGTTCCATGTAAAACCTAGAAGTCATGAACACCGGTGCGCTCAACCATATGCCCAAATGAGACATTAAATATTAGATTTTAATATTTTCCAAAGGTGTTTTGCTCTCGGGAACTGTAACTGTGTTCATGTCCCTGTGTGTGTGTGTACACGCGTAACCTTTGAACTTTGTGATTGATCAACCAAACTATCATAGTGAATCGAGTCAAGCCTAGAAAGTGAGTAATACTCAATTATGTGGTGTTATCAATAATCACACAGTGATCATTCAAATAAGTATAATACACCTAATTTTAAACAATAATCGTCCCTATTAACTTGATTATCATTACAATTCATGGTAAAATTTATATCAGGTGAACACAAAATACTCAACAAGTAAATGCTAGAATTATTGATGCTGACATAGCTTTCGAGTTTGTTAGCACTCATCAGTAGGGTGTATCTGAAACCTTAAGGAAAGTGGATCAGCATCACTTAGTGAAGTTATAGTCTTTATCACGAGACTATTTAAGCTACACGACCGATTCCCTGTCAGTGGATTATCAATGTAGCCACTTTGCCTTTCAATCCCGTCCAACTATAGCCACCGAATAGGGCATCTTCCAATTGAAATGAGTAAGCATAGTATGAACATGATGAAACCTACAAGCTTTCGACAATTTACCTTAACTGTATGTGTATTTGAAGAATTATTCGATGATGATGATGACGACGACGATAGTATGGATTGTTCTCTTCCATAAATATTCGGCGTCTTCTCGATTCCTACTTGTTTATCAATCATAGATAATAAATTTCCCAATGGATTTAGAGTTACACCAGACTGAATTCGATTCTACTTGTGAATGAAGCATTACTGTTTGTTGGTGTTCGCATTGGCAGTAGTAATAGTCACAGTCGAAGCAATGGTATTTTTGATTCCATCATTGACTGACATCATTGCTGGTGACAACGATGACGGCGATGATGATGATGACTTGATAAAAGCTGTAACAGGACAATGATGGTTATCATCAGTCAACTTGATTTGATGATAATATTGATGACTAGGTGATTTACAATTATCACGTTCTTTGCATACATTTACATATGTAGTATTACAAGCAGTAGTAATGCTAGTTGCTGGTGTTATTGCTATCGAAGCTGGCGGAGAATATTGATGATGAACAGAATGTTTAGGTGAAATGTAACAATTTTTGATTGGATCATTTTTCATTATAGAATCATAAGCAGGTGGTGGTGGAGGCACAAGGTAGTGTAAACTATTTGTACTGGCAAATTGCTTCCTTGTACTGCGTGTTCTAGAGAAAATGAAGCAAAATAAAAACCAGTGATATATATCAATACTATTCATTACTAGAATCCTTTTTACATCATACCGTCGTTGATTAGACCGAACTGATAGGTCTCTATTGGCATATGGACTCCTGTGTGGATGCCTCGATATTACCTGTGTTCTTAATTATATAGTAATGATAGGTAGTGGCTAGCAATGGAATCCATAATGCACATTTCGTCCTATTTGTGACCCGTTAGCCAGTAAGTGATGTTGCCCCCACCAGGATTCGGGCTTTGGAGTGATCGCTTCAAACGCCAGGGCGCTATCCACCACGCCACGGAGCCACGATAGCCACTTCATGTGCGACGGGTATAGTTTTAGTATAATTGTTTTTATATCGTTGATTGGACCAAATTGATGTCGAGGCATCCGCAAAGGAGGCCCACACGCCAATAGAGACCGATCAATTCGGTCCAATCAACGACAGTATGATATAAAGACAATCATACTAAAACTATACCCATTACACAAGAAATGGCTATCGTAGCTCGGTGGTGTAGTGGATAACTCTCTGGAGTTTGAAGTGATCGCTCCCGAGTCCGAATCCCAGTGGGAACAACATCACTCACTGGGGAGCAGGTACATCCGGCTGATGGGTCACAAATAGGACGAAATGTGCGTCCTGGATTCCACTGCAAGCCACGATAAGATAAATGAAGCAACGATCCTTCACATAACTATAAAACCAACCTGTACAGTAAAGAAGCGCATGTTCATGAACTAAGCAATGAACACATTGTAACGCCCCAGTTTTACATAAAAAATTGTCATCGGTCTAAACATTTTTTTTTTGTCACTTTTACAGCATGTCTAGTAGTTTATTTTCTGCCCCCACTGAAATGGAAGTCGTTGATTGGTTAATCTTTACTCCTTTACACTATGTGAATGCCTCAAATTGTGGACAAGGTCAAGTGTACACATATTCACGTGGTTGTGTTCTATTCCTTTTACCTGCAGATTTGTCAGCCTTAGTTTGAACACAGGGCAATAACAACTTGGAGTTAACACAACACCATTGTGTCACGCAATAATTTTATTTTAGAAGTAGTATTCATCATGGACTGACATCAGTTGGGGGAGCATTGGAAATCTGGGAGCACTGGACAGCTGTTTCGTCCAACTAGTATGGGACTTCTCAGCAATACGCACCCACGACCTGGCTAGGGATGGAACTCAAGACCTTCAGGTTTCACGGCGAACGCGTTAACCATTCAGCCACTGGGTCGGTTTCCAATGGTTCACAATTTTCAACTTCTGTCAATTCACAACATAACGCGACTATCACTCAAGGTCTTCAGTTAGCATCCACTTCACATCTGACTGGTTGACCCCACAGGTCACGGCTTCTCATTAGAGCTTCGTGATATCCATCTGGAAGCAAGCCACTAGTGAGCACAATAGAGTAATGTATTTTTGAGGTGAATAGGGATTTTTTTCTTAATCTAAAAGATCCTCATTCATCTTAAAAATACAATAATTTTATTATCTGTTAACAGGAAGAACTAAAAAATCGGCAAACAAGGATACATCTACTACTATTATATTCACTGATAACTATGATTCCCAATTTTTATGCTGGATCCAATTGCTCAACCTCTGTTCACACATAAACTTCTATGTGGAGGCCTCGATACTAACTGAATAATATGTATATTATGTTAGTACTAAAAAAATGGAATCAAGAATGGAGAGTAGTTGAGTAATAATCTTGTAGATAGTAGAAATAACGAAGAGATGACAAGGAGTTTGACAAGATGAAAACTTATGGTAGATAAGACATGTGAATATTGAGTGTTAAGACCATGGTAAGATAAGAGAATGAACATACTTCTTTTTCATACAGAGATCAGGTTTGAATTGATGAATTGCCAGTGCTTCTACTGTGCGTAACACTGTCGAAGGTGTACTCCTTTTGAACTATTCCATTTGACTCTATAAATGACACTGAAGGAGGATTCTACTTAAGCTGTATATGTCTAGAGTTGACCAAATATTCAAGAATTGAACTGTTAATCGATTTATATTCTCGTCTCGACAACCATACAGGATAGTAGTTCTCAGAGATACGTTTGGAAAGTGTACGCTTTATGCGGTGCGGCATATATAACACACATTGAAGTGGCCCAAAACAGAAACGTGTCTTTAAAGCACTCTAGAACCGGTTGCTGACTAGAGAAGTTGATCTGTAGCTTCTCAGAGAAGAATGTCTTCTGTAGTGATCTGGAAAGCTGATTCTTTAGGATCTCTGATGCCATATCGCTTTTGAGATCAACATGCATAAATAAGGTCTTCTTTGAAACTTTGAGTACTTACCCGATATTCAATTTTAATTTCAGGCTCTTCTCAATAAATTTGGATGGGTATCCATTTGGCATGAGAATCTTCCGCAGTTTGTCTAATTCATTGTCGACAGTATCATCAATCGTGCAGATTCTTCTGATTCTTGAAGACAAAAAATGGATCAGACTCCTTTTTCTGCTAAAAGATATCCAGCTATGTCCACTATCTAAAAGATTATTAAGCAACTGCTTCCCGTTCTTGATCCCAGTTTTTTTATCACTAGCTAACTATACACTACTGCTTAATAATAGAATGATATACGTTTCTGATATATAAAGGTGTAATTTGCTTGGCGGTGGTTAGCAGTGAAATTCAATACGCGCGTTTCGTCCCACTCGAAATTTACCAACTGGATGTACATCTGGACCCCAGTGAGTGATGCTGTCTCTACTGAAACTTGAGTCCATTATGCACTGCTTCAAATATCAAAGCATTATCGACCAGGCCGGGGAAAAGTCTTAAATAGGATGAAATGCACGTCCTGGATTCTACCGTTAGCCACCAACCAAGCAGACTATACAAATGATGTATTGACAGATTTCTTAGGACTGTTAATAGGACTACGAGAACAAAATTGAAACAATTGATGAAATAACTACGCATTAGTGATAGGGAGCGACAAAATGGTAGCCAATAGGGAAACTGTTTTCAGATCATGATTTATGCATGTACTGACATGATAACCTGATTGCACAAATTCGAAGTCATACAACTAATCGGATTGGTTTATTTATGGCTTCATTTTCTGAGGGCTTTGTAAATATACACATACCGTGTGTTGAGTATACGATTGCTTACTATACCATACCATCGTTGACTGGACCGAATTGGTCGGTTTCTATTGGCATATGAGCTCCTGTGCGGATGTCTCGATATTACCTGTGCTCTTGTGTTAGTAATGATGGATAGTGGCTAGCAATGGAATCCAGGATGCACTCACTGGTCAGCTGGATGTATCTGCTTCCGAGTGAGTGATGTTCCCACTAGTATTCGGATTCGGGAGTGGTTGCTTCAAACGCGAGAGCGTTATCCACTACACCATCGAGCCACGATAGCCAGTTCTTGTGCGACGAGTATGGTTTTCAGCATATAATTGTTTTTGATTGGATGAATTCGACGTTATACAACTAATCGGATTGGTTTGTTTATGGCTTCATTTTCTGAGAGTTTCGTGTATATATGTTGTGTTTATCAAATAAAGTTGTTGTTCTGCAGTCACAGGCTGTCTTTTGTCCTCTGATTTTCGCGGCTCAGTGAGTGAGTGTAGGATGTGGAGGAGAACAATCGCATTACTCGTATCTAGTTCAAGTATCTCGTTCGCTTATTATTAGAACCCACTTAATACCCTCAACAAAAGCACATCAATTAGGCAAGATTTTCAACGTCTACTTAGAGTTTAATCCTGCTGAAAGAGAAGTTGAAATCCTATTCATCTTATCATTTTGTTAGTTGATTGGAATAAGCAAGACAGTGTCGGCTAACAAATCGAGCCTTATGAAGACAGATGAAGATAAGTGCAGTTGTTCTGGCTTAAAGCGGCAAATGTTTCAATTCAAAGTTGTGCCTACTTTTTCAGTAATTATTCTCTGTTTTCTTTTCTTGAGACAAATTACATGCCATCTATCATTTTTAGTACACATATTGACAAGTCTTCACCAAATGCACTCAGTAAATACATACAAAAGTTATTGTTGTGTAAAAACCTTCGTAGCTATTGGATATGGATATGGAGGCTACTAGTCAGAATCGAATCTATAGTATAGTGTGGTGTCAATTCGTACTGAAAAACCTATTTGCAATCAACAAATATCCCACTAACATACAAAGTGAAAAACGACCCCACGGTCGCTAGCTTTTTTTTTTGGGATCGAGTTTCCGAAGTCGTGATGGGTGGTGTTAGGATAAATATTAGCCAATGGCGTTGCAGAATGATTGGACTATATCGTCAACTGACAGAAGTAGGAAACAGTAGACTATTTGATCCAGAACCAATGACTGAATGGCAAAGTGTTCACGGGACGCCCTGGGAATTCCCAGGTCCAATCCCACATGAGCTCAGACGTGCACATCGTCGAAGAGTCTCTAAATAGGCTATCGATCTGTGATGGAAATCCCCTCGAAATGCGATAGGTCTCAACTATGCAGGTTCGGTTACACAAACAATACATTATGACGTATTAATCTTGGTGACTAGTAGTGGAATCCAAGGTGGGCATTACGTCCCATTTAGGACTCGTCGGCTGGATGTGCACGCACTCAAGTGAGTGATATTGTTCCCACCGTGACTCGAACTTTGTGCTCACTGCTTGAAGCGCCAAAGCGTTATCCACTAAGCCACTGAGATATGAGGGTCACTCTTTATGTGACGGGCATTAGATGTTGTTTGATAATTTGTACAAGAGGTGACTCTTCTGCCCTGGTGGCCTAATGGAAAACTTTTCGACGTTTAAACCGATGATTACAAGGTTCAAGTCCCAGTGGGAAAAACATCACCCACTGAGGTCCAGGTACGTCTAGCTGACGAGTCCCAAAGGGGACGGAATGAGTATGCTAAATTTCACTGCTAACCACCGCCAAGCAAATTACAACATAATGAATATTCAAGCAGTATCAAGGCATCTACATCAAAGCTAATTCGGGAACCGAGGTCGAGCAATTCGACCCTATGTAACACAATACATTAAGGTAACCAATGAAGAGCAAGCACAAAAAAAAGATACAACTCACAGAGAATTTGACAACCATGAATCAGTCAATTCATCATGTACCAATGAACAAGCAGTTTTATCCAAATCCAATTTTGCAAGTAATTCATATTCAAGCATAGACATAGTCAATGCTCTACGGTGATGATTAGAGGAAGATGTCAACAATCTATCTGTATCAGAATATATACTACCACAAAATGCACAAACACTTTTAGTATTTCGATTGTTATGATTATTATTGATAAGAGCTGTCAAGATATCATTCCTCAGCATACTTCGATAATAATTATTTTTATTGTATGGACTTAATAGAGTATAAGGATTTCTTAACAACTCCATACTCCCTAGAACACTTCTACTACTTATATTTGCTTTATTAGTAGTAGTAGTAGTAGAAGCAGCAACAGTAGTAGTAGTAATAATAGCAGTATGTACAGGTGTATTTGAATTATTGATTGGCAATGATAGTGACTGTGTTGTAGGCTTGTTTTGATGATGATGATGATGATGAAGATGATTATTTCGGCGACGAAAGTAGAAATCATTCAGTTTACGTCCCAATGAAAAGGTTGATAATGTAGAAAATGGAAATTGTTTACGACTACTACTATTGAAGTTAGTTGTAACAGTCATGACAGCATTATGATGATTATCATAATCTGACTGTTTTGATTTCTCTTCTTCTCGACTTTCTTTTGCGCCTATCATATGCTTGTGTTGTTCTTGTTGACTGGTGCTAAGCTCTTGAATCAGTGTTTCATAATAAAGACGTTCCCTAAAATATATAAGCGAAAAGAATAGGCAAACTGATAGTAATACACTTCATGTTTAGGAAACTTAAAATAAAATCGATTAGGTAATCATACAGTCTCCATAAAGAAATGATAATTATAGTGGGTGCGGCTCCCGTGCCTTAGTGGTCATTTGAATCAATGGGTATTGGAGCTCAAAGCTCAGTAAAAACACTACTTCCCATTGGGATGTAGGTGTATCCAGCTGAGGAGTCTGAAATAGGACGGAACGCATGTTCAGAATTCTACTGCTAGCCACCAAGTTAAGTATATTTGGTGGAAAATTAATCACCAAGTTACAATTGGAAGTTATTTACTTCGTTAATATAGTAGAACTACTCAAAGGGTGACTCCATTTTATGAGTGAAAATGTAGCAGATATGCAAGTGGATAGAGTTATAAGTTCGCCGTCCTTGAGTTGCTCTGAAATGACCTTGGGCCCACCAATAGGGAGATGGAATAGAAGAAAATGACACAAGACAGAGTCTTTAAATGATGTTTGAAAACTGACTAGTTCTTACTACTTAAAGTAAAGGTTAGTACAACAAAGATATTCATTCAATTAACTCTCCAGCATAAAACCAACTGAAATGAGATACGAACGTAAATAAGCTTTCAAGATGTTCGCTATCACCTCTAAATTATTTGTATGACCCATAGTAGAATTATTGAAGAATTAAAGTTTCAGAGTGAAAAAAACACACATCATCTTCATGAAGTTGGATATTAGGTAAATATCCAAAGATTTCAAAGTAAAGAAATTGGAAATTAAGTCAGTGCTAGTGCTGATAAAAAAACCTACTGGTAGTTTCTTTGCTGCTTTATGACTTAATAGGTAGTGTAACCTATTACTAAAGTATACTGTAGAGTGAACTTACACGTTCATGAGTGTTATATATATTCCGAACGAATGTTAATACGCACGGTTAACTGACAGCTAACTTCGTACGCAAGAGTCATGGACTGTAACCCGCAAAGAATAGAGAAAAAAACTGAAGCTGGATGGGAGAGTTTGTTCTTCCGAGAATAATAATTAATTAATTCAAAAACACGTATGTTTACACATTAAATATAACCTTATCCGCAAATTGGGGCATTACCATAGTACGAGTAAGGAATAACCAATCAGCGAATTACATTACAATGGGGGGAGAAAAACTATGCATGCTATGATAATGACAAGTTAAAAATGCTTAGATCAATAACAATGTTTTATGTAAATTTAAAAAAAAACCTAAGATCATAAGAATGTTAGTCCCCTTGATTAAATCTTAATTGACGTCATCAAAATTCTGCACAAAGCTGTCTGTAATCAACGTTATACTTTTAATAATTCAAAGCATAGTTACCTTCGACGTGATTGGCCAATACAAGGTCATTTGATAGCCATTCAAAGGTGGGAAAACTTAAGTATTAAACCATTCAACCTATGAGTACTAAACCGAAAATCATTTAAAGGCCAGAAAAAGGTTACATGTAACCGGATAGAAATATAGCACCAGCATAGTAAATGGACAGTTGGTCTAAGAGGTGTTAGAAAATGTAAACCTCCAAGTGGAGATCCATGTGATGACCAACATTAGTGTTTGAATGATCTCTAGTTAATTATCCCATTGACTCATCTTGCTGACCTGTATCTTGATATACTGATTGATAATCTAGTATCGGAACTTGAACAAGTATTGCCAGACCTTAAAGTGATATTGACTGGATTGATACCAGAAATGTAAACGTCGGGATTCGACTATAATATTAGATTTTTGAAGATATACTAACGGCAATAGATATCTTGTATGAAGAATTACATTAACAGTGAGCCAGTTCTATGAATCCTTTTGCAGAATATATACTGTTCAGTAATTAATTGTGTATAAGCTGGTCAGTATAAAATACATTCTATTATATGAACACTAATAATGTTAGACAGAGAGGAGTTAAAATAAGCCACGAAGGAGTTCATGAAGTGATAATGAAAATCCAGACACTTAACGCTATACATGTCTAGGTTCGAATACGACAATGGTAACCTCATTGATTGCAACACTGGATGATCCGGGTTTGAAATTCAAAGGGGATATCAAAAACGCCTTACTGACGAATCTCAAGAAGTAGAAAGCTTAGAGCTTCCTGTCGATTGCCTCCAATCAACTGATACTAAGTCATGAAGTTTATCTGCACTGTGATAGGAAATGGGCATACGCTGTTTCACCAATGAAAAGACCCTAGAAAATTTAGATTTCGCCCATGATGATTTATGTGTAATGTCACATAAACTCGAAGATCTAAAGACGAAAAAATAACAAGTTGGTAGAACAGGCAGGGCAGGGAAGACGAGACTTCCTTCAGGTAGACGTAGAGACGACAGAGATTATGAAGATACTCAACCAACAAACAACAACAACAACAATAGCAACAACAAGCACCAATCACATGAACAGGAGAAATGTGAAGGAAGTCGTCTCTCTCACCTACCTACAAGGCAGCATCCGAAATACAGCAAGACACCTTCACTAGTCTGTGGAGATCAGTATGAAAATCCACTGCACTGCACTGCACTCAGCATAAAACGTGAACAAGATCCCGATTCTCAATACTATGTCAGTCAGTCAGTCAGCTAGTCAAGTCAGCCCTTCTATGTGATGATGGTTGACAGCCTTCGCGTCTCACAAAAACCATTTCATTCCAACAAATTGCAGACATGCATCATCTACACTCACTCCATACTGAAGATGAGATGAAATGAGAAGACGACAAACAATAAACAAGGAGGAAGTATGGTATGACAACGAGACAACCAACGATGCAAGAAGTTATTGTGTGACAACTATGCTGAAGAGTAAAGTGGAGATGGATTGAGCATACACAGAGAACACTATTCGAGACTGTCGAGTAGAACTGAAATGGAAAAGGATGAGTTGGGCGTCGGAGTGTGACATGGAGGAGATGGTGTGAGGAAGAGATGAAAGGTTATAGGGAATTGTGGAGCTAGGTTGAGTGAAACGGTGCTGTAAAGATCAGGGAGTAGACATGTATATGTTTCTAGGGCTATGAGACATCCAGTTGCTTAGGTGGAGAATTTGAACCTCGAGTCAATTGCCTAATATAACTGAACCATAGAGCCAGTGAATAGAATAAATATATTAGTGTACTATTATTCTGTCTAGTGAATAACATAGAATATCATGGTGTCTGAATTCAGTATATATCAATGATTCGTTTGCACTTAAGACAGACAGACAGACATTCTATGGACTTGAACTGTTATATTCAATTCAAATCAATTACACCTATGTAAATAATTTCATTAAAAGATAAATAAATAAATAAGTAAATAAAAATACTAATAGTATAGATGAAAAAATGAATAAGACAATAAATAATATATAAATTAACCGTTCAGCTTTTCTTTTTTCTTCTTCACATTCAATTAAAAGTTTTTGTAATTCTAAGCATAATTCATTAGCTCTTTCACGTTTATCTTCATAACATCGACGAATATCTTGTGCATGACATAATTCTTCACGTCGACGACGAATAAGCATTAATTCCAGTTTAGGAGTTGATTGTCCTTCAAGACGTATATCCTAAAGTATAGATTATTGTATACAATAATAATTATATATAGGAAGAAAGAAAGAAAGATAAGAGAAAATTAAGTTTACATCAGAATAGACAAATATACACTTAGAAACTGATTGAATATAGATTTATGAACTATGTAGACGGCTTGGTTAGAAAACTTCTTCAAGAAGAAAATAATATTAATCAGATGACTAGAGATTTATTACAATGATACATTCTTTCATTGTCTTCGAAATCTTGAAAATATTTGTTAATCTTCATCGTTGGTTGACGACCAAATTGATCAGTCAATGTTGATGTATGCCAATCTGTGTGAATACTTCAATATTATCATAGTTTCATATTATTGATAGATAGTAACTTCCAGTGGAGTTAAAAGATGTAGGTTTCATCCTGTTTAGGGCTCATCATATGGATATAACTACCTCCTATTGAGGGATTTCGTTGACATTGAGAGTCGAACTCATGACTCAATCATATAGTGAACATCCTCACACCATTATTGCTGAAGGTTTCGAAGGAAGAAAGGAAGGAAAGGTACCTGCAGATTGATTTGAAGAAGGGTTACCTTATCAAACTCCCATACAACAATGACCTAAGTCCTTGTAAGAACTGGTGCGAAATCATCCTCCTATTTACGCCAAGTAAAATATTCAGCTGCATCATCCTGGAGAGGCTGAAAACTGCTCTGCATTCAAAATTACCACCAGAACAGGCTAGCTGGCTTCACAAAGAACAAATCATGTGTTGATCAAATTGCAAAGCCACGCTACGCATCATCATAGAACACAGCGTAGAATGGCAGTCAACTCAACTCTTTATCTTAACTTCATCGACTTTGAAAAGGCCTTCGAAAGAGGAGTCGATCGAGAAGTAATCTGACAGCGACTTCAACACAACCGTTTTAGTACCACAAACCTTTGTCAACCTCATTCAACAGCACCTGTATGCTATATGATGGTACATGATAAGTGATTTACAATGGAAAGCTGATCAGTGATGCCTTTGAAGTGAAAACAGGTTGACAGGTAAGACTAGACAAGACAAGGTTGCCGCATACTATTATCAATGATCTTCTTGATTGTGGTTGACTGGATCATGCAACAAACAACTGTGAGGAGTGAGATGAGCATAGGTTATTTGACCGATGAAAGGCACTAGCAGTTTTGGATTTCGTCAATGATGATTTATGTGTAATGTGGCATCCTTCACGTGAACGTGAAGATAGAGGTCATGAAGATAGCCAACCACCACCACCACCACCACCAACAAGCACCAATCACGATGAACAGGAGAAATGTGAAGGAAGTCGTCTCTCTCGCCTACCTAACAAGACAGCATCCGAAATACAGCAAGACACCTTCACTAGTCTGTGGAGATCAGTATGAAAATCCACTGCACTGCACTGCACTCAGCATAAAACGTGAACAAGATCCCGATTCTCAATACTATGTCAGTCAGTCAGTCAGCTAGTCAAGTCAGCCCTTCTATGTGATGATGGTTGACAGCCTTCGCGTCTCACAAAAACCATTTCATTCCAACAAATTGCAGACATGCATCATCTACACTCACTCCATACTGAAGATGAGATGAAATGAGAAGACGACAAACAATAAACAAGGAGGAAGTATGGTATGACAACGAGACAACCAACGATGCAAGAAGTTATTGTGTGACAACTATGCTGAAGAGTAAAGTGGAGATGGATTGAGCATACACAGAGAACACTATTCGAGAATATCACGTGTGAGGAGAGACTGTCGAGTAGAACCGAAATGGAAAAGAATGAGTTGGGCGTCGGAGTGTGACATGGAGGAGATGGTGTGAGGAAGAGATGAAAGGTTATGGGGAATCGTGGAGCCAGATTGAAAAGATTGTAGAGAAGAGAGTGAAATGGTGCTGTTCTACTTAAGCCTTATGTGCCACTAGGAACCCAAAAGACCAATAATAATAATGGTGAATAATGGGTAGTAATAGAGTTTGGGACTTGTCAGTTGGATGTACCTGTCTCTTAATGAGTAATGTTGTTGAAAGCGTTGAAATGTGAAAAGATGATACCATATGATAGTCTGGTAAATGTCATCACCAAATAGTCAACGAACTACTACTCAGATATATCAAAGTGGAATGTGTAAATTGTAAGTTAATGATTCAATTTATAGCGCAGTATTTCCTCTTAAACCAGATGGTTTTTAAGACCTCCCCAATTTACTCATACTACTTAAAATAAATGAGATGACTCTGTGAAGTTTAAAATTACTCTCATGTAATCAATGAACAGATTAGGTTACTGTTGTGACCGCGTGGGTATAATGAATACTGAGACTCAATAGATACCTCAATCGAATAACTTTATGACTGACTTCCCTCACTACCTTCTGCTTCACTGAGCCACGGTAAAATCAGAAGACAAAAACGGCCTGTGACTGCAAAAACAGCGACAACAACTTTTATTAGACAAATACATGACATATATGAAGTTACAAAACTCTCAGAAAGTGAAGCCACAAACGAGCCAATCAGATTTCTTGTACGAGGTTGAATTCTTCCAATCAGTTTCTCATGTCAACGCATGCATAAATCATGACCTGAACATGATCTGATCAGGACTTAAAAACTCCCTTATTGACTGCCTTCTTGTCGTTACGTAATAGTTAATGTATTACAAACATAGTCTGAATATTTTGAAGGCAAAGCTAAGTGGTTTTTAAATATTAAATTTTCAACTGATGAACCACGAGTTCGAATCCTGCTTCGCTTACCCTCCTCGTTATTGACTACTGCAACAATATGCATAAAGTTCAGGAGTGGAGTTCCTGCTTTATATTCCTATCTGTTTCAGCTTCATACCATAAATGACTTTGATCATGAACTGTACAACAAAAACAAAGATGAAAAAGTTAAAAAACACTTACTTGTAAGTAAATAGCAATTTCTTCTTTCCATAACTGACGTAGTGAATTGAATTCATCGTCTGTATACTGAAGTAAACTTGAACAAGTAACATTTAAGTGAGATAGGATTTGACGAAAACTAGGACGATTCCCCGGTTTAATATTCCTATAATTATTTGCATAAATAAGAGGGTAATATAATAGTCTCAGTGGAATAAAAAGATATATAAGTAACTATTTATACTACTTTTATATCCTAAAATTATTCTCTTGACTTACAAAGCCCAAGGGGGGGGAATTTCACAGAGTGATTTGTTCTCTAAGCGATAGTTTTATTTAGCAAATGTTTCAGTATCCTGTTAGACATCATCATCAGTGTATCAGAGCTTCCACAAGGAAATATCGCTTCAAAGTGACATCAAAGTAAGTCAAGGAAACAAAAAAGAATTCAACCAATCACATAGTTGCACACCCTTCTGAGAAAACCAAAGACAGAAAGTCCACCAACCAGATTAGACATACACCTCCATACTCACCGAGCAGCCAATCAGAATACACCAAGGTAAAGTAGCAAGTTATAAAAATCTATGCACAACCAATTACTTCACTTTCTTGTGTAGCTCTGATAACCATGTCTAACATGACACTGAAACGTTTTCCAAATAAAAGAATAGGTCAGAAGAAAACTCATTCTGAATAATATTCTTTGAAAAAGGACCTTAAACTGGCTATTAATTACTACTGATTCTTTAGAGTTGGCTTAAAACATTTTAGCCAATCACCAGTGTTTACTGTCTAGACAATGAGATAAAAGTCAATCAAATGCTCATTGTTAATAACGTGCTACTAAATGTAGATGAACGCGGGTTTATTCAATAGAAGTTATACTACTAATTAAATAATAAGTAATAACATTCCTTAGGAAAAAGTAAAAATTAGAATTTAGATGTTTGGTAGAGTTGCGAAATCGCAAAACATTTTTTAAACTATATAATTGTAGTCAGTATGACTTTCTTTATATGTATAAAAAGAGTATTAGAATGCATGCGGTTGACTGAATTTCTTTTTATGATTAATGCGTTAAACTGTTACACTTTCACTGCTTTTAAATCATTATCAAAATATGACCCGGTATTATTGCATACTGGTCCAAGTTGCCACACATCATATCAGCAAACCAAGCTAGAAAACATTAAGGTTGAAGATAAAGCCGTAAAAGAGAGGAAGGAGGAATAAGAAAATATTGAACTCAGTAAGACGATAAAGATCATGTGTGGATGCATCTACACCATTGACATAGATTGTGAAACATAACACCTAGGGTCACTAATCACTGGTTTTTATTATCATGTGGACCCTAAACGGGAAGTCTATATATCCTTACATGACTCAAACAAATAGTGAAAGACTTCAACGACTGATACCACGTTGTAGTCTGGTCACCCTAACATTTTTCTAACCTAAACCTAACTCAGCAAACGTTGAGGGACGAAGTAAACAGTGACTAGACATACGTAGCACATGTCACAGCCACCTTACTAGATGAAGGTCCACAACCTCATCAACTGACTCTCCTATCTTTCTTAAAAGTCATCACCTGACTTCCAACTTTACTGATGTAGTGACACCACGATACATAGCCTATGCTACGAAGGCAATGGTAGTCAAATACATGAAGTCTTTTCATATCCTCTACCTTTAGTGGTCATATTTGAAAGCCATACAGTAAAACAGAGCGAATTCCAGTGTAGTATAGTCGACTCTTAATAGATAGTTGAATATTACGGTGGCAACATAAATGACGTAAGTTACGCTAGTCACTAAAGCCTTTTGCATCCATGTAGACATTTCGCTGGCCACTGATCCATCAGCGTTGATTCTACTTCTCAGGTAAGTAAAGCGTTGAAAGTACTCAACCACTTCATTCTCTATTGTTAGCTGGGGTACCATTGAAAACCGGTCCTGGAGCAACATTTTTGCAATTGGGTGGAGAGAATCGTATCCATACACACCCTAAAATTAGGAGTCAATGTCATCAGAAGATTCTGTATCACGTCAAAGTCTTTACCTAACAAGGCCATGTCATCTGCGTGTACTCTAAGTCTGCAAAGGATTCTTCTGTGATTAGATCAATTCTTGTAAAGTCAGAGGAGGAGAGGGAGATACCCATAAGTACGTCTATGATAAATTTGAATAAGAACGGAGGGAGTCAACATCCTTGATGAATACAGATTATAGGTATGATTTCAACAAATTTATGTTAATTATATAAAAAAGAAGGATACATCTATAAAGACATTAAATATTCACCTGAGTTCTCATGCAAACCACAATTAATTTTCATAGAAATCAGTAAAAATAACGTGCAGTCAGCAACAAGTGAGACTATTGCTAACACATTATACTTTGTAACTGCTCCAAAGGGGATGAGAATTAAAAAAATGTAGTATTTTGTTTATTATTGGACATAGGGCTTCAGTAAAACGTCGCCATTTCACTCTAATGTCTGCAATCTTTTGGATTTAGCTTGATGACTCGTCATAAGCTTTCACTTCTTCCTCACACCATCTCCTCCATGTCACACTCGAACGCTCAACTCGTCGTTTCCCCTTTGGATTCCACTCGAGGGCCTGGCCTGAAGTGTGATGTCCACGAATGGTCTTCTCAGTGTATGCCCAATCCATCTCCATTTCCTTCCAGTGCATATTTGTTGAGTGATAGGTTCCTGGTTCGTTGGTTGGTTCGTTCCTAGGCCACACTTCCTCCTTGCTTATTCTTTCTCGCCTTCTCATCTCATCTCATCTCATCTTCAGTGTGGAGAGAGCACAGACGACAGCTGCTGCTGCAGTTGATTGGAAGGAAATAGTTTTTGTAAGGCGCCAAGTCTCTCAACCATCATCACGTAGAAGCACTGACTTGACTGACTGACTAATTGTTGAAAATCCGGATCTTATTGTTTATACTGAATGCAGTAGATCTCCACAGATTAATGAAGACCTGTCTTGCTGTGTTTCACATCGTCATCTGCGCCACCGCCACAGCTGCCTGTAGTTAAAATGATGCTGCCTAGGTATACATAAATATATTTCCATCGGATTTTTGTTTTAACTAACAATTAGCCATTTATAATGCTAATATCTTTATCAAGTTTATAGGGAATAAGCTATTAGCTGTGAATAACGAAACATCAGTAAAAAAAAAACAACTTTAGATGGTGGAATTAGGAGATTAGGCTAATGTGAACAATGTGTGAACAGTGGTTTAGTGGAATACATTAAGAACATTCTGATCATATACATATTCACTTATCAAGTTGATTTATATGAAATCAAAGGATGACATAGGAGAACAAATAGGGAACAAGACATAATAAGGGGTCAGTACTTTGATATCTTCATTTATCTGTGTACACTATCCTAATTAGGCGGCTTGCTTAAATGCTTGGGGTAACAAAATATTTTCTACCAATTATACTCTATCAAATTCTTCCCTTTCAATTAGTGTTTTAATATCTTTTGAAAGTATCTCATGTAATCTCATATCTTTTTAAGATGTTTTCAAATTTTCTTATCTTAAGTTAAGAACAAAACAAAAGAGGGGGTGGGGTCGTGGGTGCGCACTGCTGAGGAGTCCCATACTAGTTGGACGAAACAGCTGTCCAGTGCTCCCAGGATTCCTTTGTTCCTCCAACTGATGTCAGTCTACGATGAATAACAACTTGAAATATTTCCAAATCTCCACAACCCCCTCAAAAAAATTTAATTGAACTGGTGCTCATTGGTGACTAGCTTCGAGAAGTATTCCCGAAGTTCCAATGGGAAGTCGTGACCGGTGGAGTCAAAGCCTGATGGCCATGAGGACAGATACTCAGCGATGATATTGGGTGGCAGTTGCGCTATGTATCATGAGCTAAGAGAAGTTGGAAATATGGAGCATTGGATTGTGACCCAGTGGCTCAATGGGAACGCGCTGGCCGCAGAACCTAAGGGCCGCGGGTTCGACCCCTGCTGGTGTGGGGTGGTGGGTGAGCTCTGCTGAGGAGTCCCTTACTAGGACGAAACAGCTCTCCACAGCTTCCTCAAAGGAGAGACATTCAACCAGTTCGAAATGGATATGTAAGTGCTCAAATATTCATTACCATACTACTATTCTTAGGATATTTGTATGAGGTTATGAATTTCTGTGTTGGTTAGATGACTGACTGAACTGCCATCATTGAATTTCCACTTGATTTTATGTTCATTTACGAATCGGGAACAGATGATAGAGTAACACTGGCTACCTCTTCCACTATACACAATTAATAACTATTTCTTGTAAAAATGTTGTACAAAAAACGAATCTGTTGGAATATTCCATACTGAAAACTTTATATTGTTGTTCCATATGTTGTTTGGAATATACTGAATATCATTATTATTATTATTATTACTATTTATTGAAATATACTTGTAATTCTCCGTTGTTTTATTGGATAGAATTATTCGATCTCGATTCCTACATGGCCGGCTCGTATGCGGATGCCTCGATATTGTCTGAATGTTAATTACGGTAATTTAATTGGTTGTAGCCACCAGCTGGATGGATTTGCACTCCATTGAGAAGTGATGTTGTTTCCACTGAGACTAAACCTTGTATCTATCCCTTCAAACGCCGAGACGTTTTCCACTATGCCATGGAGGTACATCCAGATGATAAGTCCTAAATAACACAAAACGCACATTCTAGATTCCTCTGCTAGCCACAACCAAACATATTGTTATAATTACCATTGATAAAAGGGAGAAATTATTTTAAAACAACTTTGTTTTTCTGTACATTTTATTCGAAGATACAGAAACAAGTGGAGCAAAAAAGTTTATTTTAGTATCCAGAATTGAAGTGTGCATTATTTTTTGATGGGAAATTGTAAAATACTTTAATGTGATTCACAAAACTAAAACTAACAAAAGATAATATGTGTATTGACTTGAATTTGATCAGTTAAATAAGATAACTACTTACAACTTGTAAGTAGTATAGATTTCAGGGTGGAAAATCTACGAGTAAAACAACTGTTTAGTGTTAGCGGCTACAATAGCAGTGAAAATCGTTTGTCCACTACTGATGACACTATATTCACCGATCTCCTGAAATAATGTACATACGCATGTAATATCACAGCGC